TAGAAAAGGCTGTTGAGTGTGACAATGTCCCTGCAGAATGGACAGGGCTGAAGTTGTGGGTCCCTTCTGCAGGGAGGGAAAACTGAGTCCACAGTGTCCAGGTGAGTCACAGAATGCTGTTGCTAGAGGGGACTTCAGGCTGTAAATCCAGCAGTTCTGAAATGTCAGCCTAGTGCTCCAGCCAGTTCAAGGCTGGTATATGGAAGTAGGAGTATAAACATGGTGGGTCTCACCTAGGCACCTGTGATCAGAAGAACTGAGGTGAGACACTCCCTCTACCTGTGGCCAGGTTAGGGAACCATGTACAGGTCCTAACTGCAGCTGAGGACTGGCATCTACCTCCAAGTGAAAATCTTCAAACAAGGGGAGAAAAAGTCTCCCTACTAGTTATCAGTAAACCTTTACCTTGTTGAAAGTTAACTTTGTGTGTGTGTAATTCTGGGGATTGAACCTGAGGCCTTGCACCTACTAGGCAACGCTAAGCTGACCTCAAATTAGTAATCCTCCTGCCTCAGCCTCCCAAGTAGCTGGGTTATAGGCATGTGCCACTGTGCCCAGCTTTGTAGTATGTCTTTGAGCAAGTTGTTCTATCCTTGGTCTCAGTATCTTCATCTGTACTATGGGGATGATACCACATATCCTCAATAATAAGATGCTTTTAGTTATTGTTTTAAAATTATTTATTATTGGGCTGGGGCTGTTGCTCAGTGGCAGAGTGCTTGCTTAGCATGTGTGAGGCACTGGGTTCGATCCTTAGCACCACATAAAGAGAAACAAATAAAATAAAGGCATCCTGTTCAGCTACAACTACAAAATTTTTTTTTAAATTATTTTAAAAAGTTACCTAACAGAATTTTTATTTTTTCAAGCTTAAAAATATATTTTTTTTTAATACTGATTACTTGAACCCAGGGACACTTTCTCACTAACATGCCTCTTCAGTCCTTCTCTTAAAATTGTACTTTGAGACAAGGTCTTGCTAAGTTGCCCAGGCCAGCCTTGAACCGTGATCTTCCTGGCACAGCCTCCTAAGGAGCTGGGTTACAGGTGTGCACCACCCCCCCAGCTAAACTGTTATTGCTTTAATGTTTCTGAAATAGGGAGGTGTCTCATTGATGGGTACATGTAATGCAGTGTTTTTTGTTTTGTGGTTTTTTTTTTTAATCTAATCTGAAAAACTGTCCTCAATACCTCTTCTAATTAGGGAAGGACTATAGGATCTCTCTTAGTGATGTGGTCGGGAAGATCAAATGAAATAATGCAAACAAAATAATGCTTAGCACAGTGCCCGGCAGACAACAATCAGTCCCAGAAATTGTTACTACGATTATTATGAAATTAAGGAGGAAAGGACGGCGTAGAAGTTGAGAAGTGAATGGCAGTACAGCCAGTGCTGGTTTGGGTAGATGGTTGAAGCATCTAGAGGTTCTGAGTCTGGGGCCAATGTTCCTGCTCAGTGATGCCAATGGAAACCCAGACCCTTCCCACTCTATCCGCTGTGCCTTTCTTCACATATAGGGCTTTGTCCTTGTGCTTATCACTTTCCTTGGATAAGAAGGAGGAGGGGAAAGAGGTGGCATCCACATGAGCTGCAGCAGCCATTGGCCTCTCCCAGTGTCAAGGACATATTTACCTCTGTCTCTTAGTGTTCATGAATTTCACAACCCAGGTTTGCAAAGAAGATAGATCATGCACTAAACCATATTGATTGGGCTGACTATTTAGAAAAAATAAAGTTAGGGTCTTTTCTTAAATTATGACAAACTAAGTTCTAGATGGGTTAGAGATTTAAATATAAGAAAATACAGGTGTATATGTTTATAAATTAAGGGTGGGAAGGCATTTTCTAACATGCTACATACAAAGGGAGAAACCTTGGGGGTGTAGCTCGTGGTAGAGTACTTACCTACCTAGTAAGTTCATGAGGCCTTGAGTTTTATCCCCCAAAATTTTATAACCGAAATAAAAATCTTAGAGGAAAAGTGTGATATGTTTGACTTTCCCTCCATTTAAAAATTGTCTCACTAATACCAGGTACTAAAATTCAAAGACAAATAATTAATTGAGAAGAATATTTGAACTTGTGACAAGGTTAATATTTCCACCATACAGTAAAATCTTAAATAAACCTATTTAAAAAAATGAATGCAGCTCAGGAAAAGTGGACAAAGGAAAGTAATAAGCAGTTTGTAAAGCAGAAATATAAGGGTTTGTGAATCTAAAAATGGGTTTAGCTAACTAGTAATCAAAGAATGCAGAGGAAAAGAGCTGTAAGAACACATTAGCAGAGATGGAATGTCATTTATTTCTATTTATTTATTTACTTAGGTGCTGGGGATTGAATCCAGGGGCATTCCACCACTGAGCCACATCCCCAACTAGCTTTTTTTTTTTTTTTTGTATTTGGAGACAGGGTCTCACTCAGTTGCTTGGGGCCTTGCTAAATTGCTGAGACTGACTTTGAACTCATCATCCTCCTGCCTCAGCCTCCTAAACTGGTAGGATTATAGATGTGTGCCACCAGGCCTAGCTTGGAATGATATTTTAATACAAAATGTTGGGGAGAATCTTGTGCTACACTCACTCAAACACAGGTAACAGTATGAAATTAGTGCAATGTTGAGGAGGGTTATTAAGCCTGTTGTGTACAGGTTGGACATCCCTGTTCTGAAAATCTGGCATTGGAAATGCTCTAAAATCAGAAACTTTTGCAGTGCCAGTGTGACAGTATAAGTGGAAAATTCTACACTATGAAACTTTGTTTCATGAATAAATCATTAGAAATACGATTAGGCTGTGGTGCACATCTATAATCCCAGCAACTCAGGAGGCTGAGGCAGGGGAATCACAAGGTTGAGAACAGCCTCAGCAACTTAGAGGGATCCTGTGTCAAAATAAAATTTTAAAAAGGACTGGGGCTGTAGGTCAATAGTAAAGTATGAAAAAAAAAATCTGCTGGGTGTTCAAGGAGCTGCAAAGAAGGGACAACAAGCAGGAGCAGAGGCATGGGGTCTTGTTCTGAGGGCTGGACGGGCCACCACAGGGCACTTTGGTCAGTACCCGCTATCAGCCCTCCCCAGTGTGTATTAGGTATGTGTGAAACATACATGAACCTTATGTTCAGATATCTCATGTATGTACAAATATCCCAAAATCTGGGTTAAAAAAATTAAAATCCGGAGCTCTTTTGATACCAAGGCGTTTTGGACAAGGAACACTCAACGTATGTTAAGTTTTAATAAATATTTGTCGACTAGCCCCTGCCATTTGTTGCTGGATCTCACCCACCATTCTTTCCATTCTGGGAAGCTCTTCTTCATCCCTAGGGCTTCCCCGTCCCTTGCTGGGGTGGGGCGGGGAGAGGAGGCAGAAGTGCTGGGGTTGCTGGGTTGCCCTCCAAGGGACCCGAAGGGACCTGCCTGGGAAGATGGTAGACCTGACCGGCTGTGGTTCTTTTACTGTTACCGGAAGACTGAAAGGTTCTGCCAGTGAAAAGAGAGCTCTGTACTACCGGGCACTCACGCTGTCCTTTCCTGGAAGCCAGAGGACTCTCGGGCCAGCCCTCAGGGACTCTTGTTTTCAGAGAGCACAGAGTACAGAGGCTTGGGGCCAGCTGCAGCTTGCAGGCCTGCTTGGAGGCTGGCCCTGCTCTCTGTCAGGCAGCTTGTGCCCTGCCTACCAGGCCCGGGAGACATCTTCCGGCCTGTCCGTGTTTCCATGCTGATCACTGCCCACGTTGGATTATTTCCATCTGACAGGCTGGGCCAGTCCTTAGGATCCTGAGTCCCTGGGTAGTTTCCAGGGCAACAAGCCATGGGTATTCCCATCTCTTTTCCCAGAAAGATGCAAAAAGTACAAAGTCACCCTCTCCCCCGGACGCGGGGAGCTGACACAAGCACCCATGGGGCAGCCTGTCCAGCTCTCGGTAGAGAAATCCCACGTCCCTGTTCCGGCTCCTCTTCCCTCAGTGCCCCCTCTGACATCCCCCAGATGCCACACGTAGGTGCCTCCCATGGCTGAGGCAGAGAGACCTTGACCGCAGGTGAACTGCCATGTGTGCAGCTCTCCTGGCTAGCCTGTGGCTGTGACCTTGGTTAGTCTCACACCACTCCACTTCTTGGCAGCCACTCAGGAGCCCCCTCCCCCAGCATCTCTGCAGTTGGCACGCTGAGAGGGGTTGTGTGTGTAATGGGAGCAAAACTCAGAGTTTCCATGAGTAGCTGAGAAATTCTAGAAACAGCCTGTACTCATGAGCGTCCCTTTCTCTTTCCCTGACACAGGGAAAAGTGCAAATGTTATTTTTGGTGGGATTATCGATGGTTGTTTGCTATTCTGGGCACCTTTGTACTCAGGGATGGGGGAAGGGAGGCTGCAGGCCTGTACCTGCCACCTGCCCCCCATCTAATGTTTTTAAAAAATTTTTCCACCTTATGTTTTGTATTCCAAGTCCAGACCAACATCTATGGCTGTTGGGGTCTTCAGCTCTATTGAGTGACCCTGCAGAAGGGGCTCCTAACCCCCAGTGCTACTCAAAGTTCACCAGAGAACAGTGAAATTCTAAAGTGTGTGGCACCTATAAATGGGTAGTGGGAATGTAACATGTTCTTTGGGGACCAAAAAGGTGCCAGGCACTCCTCCAGGCTCTGAGAATCAAATAGGTCCCCCAGGCTTGGTCCTCTTGGAGTTTGCAGTGTAATAGGAGGAGAGAGATATATAAAGAGGAAAAAAGACTATTTTGCAAAATGACCTGCTAAGAGGAAGATGCGGGTCTGAATGACTGGGAGAAGTCTCTTTGTGGGAGTGGCCTTCCACATTGACGAGGTTACATCTGAGCTGTTGTAAAGTTGTGGGAAAGAGCCTTCTAGGCAGAGGGAACAGCAAGTGCAAAGGCTTTGGGTCAGAATGACCTTGACGTGTCAGGGACAGAAGGCCTGAATATCTGGAACCTGGTAAGTGAGAGAGGTCCATCGTAAAGCCAGTGGGGTGGCCACACAGGGCAGTAACTTACAGGCCAGGTTGTTTATTCCTTTTTAACTGGGAAGCCAGTGGAGGGATTAAAGCAAAGAAAATGCTGTGATCAGATTTTTACTTTAGGAGAATGAGTTTCATTAAGCTGTAGGCTTTAGATTTGGGCATTTTGTGTATACGTTGTACTTAGAGGAGTGACAGAAGAGGGGTTGATGCTGAGTGCAAGCTGGAAGGCCAGCGAGAGCTTTTGTCTTAACTAACATTCCAACACTTCTTCCACTCATTCCTCATGCTCCCTGGGCTTCACTAGGCAAATTTGGGTATGCTCTTGTTCTCGCAGAGTTTACAGCATGGTGTCTTCAGATTCAGCTGGTACTTCCAAATCTTCTTTGAGGAAGTCTCTAGGAAAGAGGCAACTGTTATTAAAATTTAGACTGTTCACTTGTTGCATACAAGTGGGATTGAAAGCCACCTGAACTGGAGCATGTCTCTATTGTAGGCCGGAATCAGGAGCCCTTGCTATGTGGCGATCTGATTGCCCTTTGGGGTGAGTGTTGCCTGGAAAGAGTAAGCCTTTAAGTCCAGTTAGAATGTTGATCCCTTTTTAATAGGCAAGCAGCAGTTTGTAGGAGGTAGAGGAGGGGAGAAGGGGAAATGCACGCTTTAGTAGTATGCTGTTAGGCAAGACACTTCTTTGCTTAGAGTTAGCCGCCATGCCCATACCTTGAGAGGTTTTTGTTGTTTTTTTGTTGTGTTTTAATCTTTGCCCATGACCCTGATCTGGCACTTAGTGTGATATGAGCCAGACACCTGGTTGCCTTGCTCTGGAATTCATCTGTGTGTGCCCTTGACAGTGTCTCTGCAGAGCTCTGGGCCAGGCAGAGATGGGCAGATCAAGAGGCCCGATGGCCAGGGTCCTCATTCTCTCCTTTGCACCTTTGACAGAGGCTTTGAGAAGACATTCCTGTCCTCCTGCCCTTGACCCTGTGGCCTCCACTGTGCACTCTGGTGAGGTCATGCCTATGGACATACGCATTTGCACTTACACAGGCAGCAAGTACTTATGAAGGTCCTGCCAGCCTCACTGAATTTGGTTGCAGGTGGAGCGGTGGAACCAGAGGCCCCTGGATTGCATTTTTGCCCCTGATGTTATGGCCAGACTGCAGGAGTCCCTGGAACCAACCAAAATAGTTAACTCAAAATCTAAGCCTGTCAGTCTATGTCAGCCTAACTTTGAAACTAGACGCAGGCGCCGGCACAAGGCTGGTACTAGAGGGTAGGATTGGGGTAGACTAGAGATAAACACACAGGACTTCCTGAGGGTCTCCTGGCCCTTCACACCCAGTGGAGAGCCCCTGCAGCTTTCTGACACAGTTCATTGTCAGACTTTCTAGTCCTGGGGGAGGTGTGGGGATAGGAAGGCACGGGAGGAAGCAGAGAGATGGAGCTGAGCCCAGGCAAGAGAGTGAAGGCAGATGAGGGGGAAGGTGGACAGGAGCCTGGGCAGAGGAGCTCAGGTGTGTTGCTGGGGGAGTGGAGGGGGTGGGAGGGGGGCCAGCGGCGCCTGGCAGTGGATCCAGGGATTTTTCTTCTGAAGCGTGGAGTCTTAGGACGCAGGTGCTCTGGTGCGTGGAGAGCCCACAGTGAGGAAGCAGAGGATGTGGGAAGGCCTTTCACATCTGTCATCAGATGATGGCTGCCTGTGACCTTGGCCAGAGAATGTGCTGTGTGGGAGGTTGGGACAGTGGGAGGGAAACTGGAGGAATTATGATTCATAAATATGATTACTCAGTCTCCCCCTGCTGCCACCTCTCTTACCCAATTTGGAAATAGGGTCTTATTGCAATAACCCTCTTTCTCATGAGATGAGGGCTCATTTGTCAATGTGTTGGTAAGACTCAGGGCCATGGAGAAATCCACTCCTGCCTTTCTGCTAGGACCTGGTCATGTGCTGGGGCGCAGTAGCTATGCGGGAGGCTGTGTGCTGGGGGAGGGTCAGGCTTTAGTGTGCATAAGGAGGCCTATGGGAGACCTTGGATCAGGAGGATCTGAAGTGGGGCAGTGCAGGGCAAGCCTGAGGCAGAGTCTTGGTTGCAGGTGGAACAGTGGAACCAGAGGCCCCTGGGTTGCATTTTTGCCCATGGTGTTATGGCCAGATTGCAGGAGTCCCTGGATACATCAGAAGAATTCAGCCAACCTGTCACAGCCCCAGGGTGGGGAGTCATCTTTTCTAACTCTGCTTGTATCCCCTAGATAAATTGTGTCTGAGTTTTCCATTAGAGAAGGGAACAAGCTCCTCTAGGATACAAATAGGAATTTATGTAGCTCTCATGTTATATAGGTGACCTGCTGTTAGGCAGGTCACTTATAAAGTTATAAGAAGCTTTGCTTTGTTCCTTTGTTGCAGTACTGGGGATTGAACCCAGGGGTATTCTACTTCTACGCGACACCTCCATTTCTTTTCTTTTCTTTCTTTCTTTTTTCCTCAACTTGCTAAGTTGCCCAAGTTGCCCTCAAACTGGGGATCCTCCTGCCTCAGTCTCCCAGATAGCTGGGGTTACAATCACACACCACCATGCCTGGCTAAGCTTTGCTGCTCTTTAGGCCAAACTGGCCTCTGCTTCTGCTCTTTTCCTGTCTGTTCACACGCAGCCAATCGGATTTTTTAAAATGCCAGGGGCTGGAGGTGTGGTTCAGTAGTAGAGTACTTGCCTAGTATGCATGAGGCCCTGAGTTGGATCCCCAGCACTGAGAGAGGAAGGTGGGAGAACATATCAGACCATAACTCTGATTAAAATGCACCCTCCCCTTCTAAATGAAGTTTGCAGCCCATTTTTCCCTCCTATGCACATCCTCTGTGTCCTCCCTGGCCACTGTGGATTCTTTTTTTTTTTTTTTTTTCAGAGAGAGAGAAGTTTTTAATATTTATTTTTCAGTTTTCAGTGGACACAACATCTTTATTTTATTTTTATGTCGTGCTGAGGATCGAACCCAGCACCCCGCACATGCCAGGAGAGCACGTTACCACTTGAGCCACATCCCCAGCCCCCCACTGTGGATTCTTAAGTCCTTAGATGTGCCATCTTTACCGAGTCTCCAAATGTAGCAACACCCTGCTGGAATATTCCACCCCATCCCTTCACTGGGCTGACTTTAACATGTCCTGCTGGTCTCAGCTAAAGTAGTGTTTCTTTGGGGGAACCTCCCTGACCTCCAACACCAGATCGATTGCCCTGCTGTGTTCTCCGATGCTTCCTGTGCTCAGCCTGGCACTGCCTATGGTGCTCCTCAGCTTCTTCCCCAGGCACCACACTAAGTAATGGTGGTTTACTCTCAGTGTCCAGGCCTGTTCCTACGGATAATTACAGTCCAGCATACTAAAGGTAAAGCATCAAAAACCCCGTTTTCTAGCGCGGAAGCATAGTTCAGTGGTAGAGCGCTTGCTTACCATGCACAAGAGCCCGGGTAACAGCCTCAGTACTGCTAATACAAGGAGACAAACAAACAAAACCCCTGTGTGTTCCACATATCCTTGTACTAAAGTCCCCAGTGTGATTCACTTCTGCCAGTTAGATGTGCTTGGTCCAGGCTTACGTGTGTACAGTCCTGTGAGAAGAGGCAGGGTCTCTTCTACCTCGGGATGGGCCCTGGGCCTTTGTTTTGCTGGTGTGGATCCTGGCAGGAGCAGCATAATTCTGGAGCAGGCAGCTTCCTTATGCTGTGGCCACTTGACCGTGGCATGGCAGAGGCAGTGGCTTCCTGGCAGCTTAGTTCTGTAGCATGATCTTGGGAATAGCCCCTGGGAGCTCAGCCTAAAGTTTTTCTTCAGCCTACTGTTTAATATCCTGTACAGAATCCCTTTCTGATTGATTATATTGCCCAGCTGAACAGAATTACACATTGCCCTTGTCATCATCATACTGGCAAAATACTGGCCAAAGGTTTGCTCTCCCTACTGCGTGAGGGCAGGTAGCTGTTGTATGTATCCTTTGCATTCCGGTGTCTACATAATTCCTGGTAATTACTGTTAGAAACCAGCAGGCAGTGAATTTTTGTTGAATGAATGAACTCTTGGACTGAGTTTTAAGTCTGGTGGGTGTGAGTTCAGCTAATATACATGAACTTCAGGGCAGTGGGCTTGTTTAGAGATGAAGAGGCAAGAGATGGTGGGGGCTTTGACCTCAGGTGATCTGGGGCAGCCTTGGCCTGTGGGCATCCTGGATGGACTGTCTGTGGAACTAAAATGGGATTTTGAGAAGAAACTAGATTCTTTACTTCTGCTCATGGGTGAGGTCTGCATAAGTTGCAAGCCTCTGCAGCCCAGAAGGCCTGTTTTAGTGTTTGCAGCTAATCACAACAGGGGTTCCTGCTGGTGCTACGTGGTAAAGCTGGAGAGTGGCGTGTTGCAGCTCTTAATGGTGGGCTCTGCCCTCCAGGGTTGCAGCAGACCCCAGGAGCTCACTGCCTATTTCTTCTTTCTGGATTGTTGTCTTGTGAATTTAAAGAATGAAATCCATAGATGAGAAAGAGTGAGGTAAAAGAGTAGTATTTATTCAAACGGGAAGGAAAGAGGGGGACTTGTAGGGTTGCCTCTTGAATGTGCTAGTCTAGGCATTTATGTAGCTCTGGGGCCAATACTGTTGGTCCAAATTTATGCTAATCGGGTTTTGGAAAGGTACCAAGCCTGCAATCTCCATTTATCGGCCCCTCTTCCATTTTCTCACCCTCAGTGGACTGGGCCAGTCCTGCAGGGCAACAGGTCCTGTCTCGCCCTGCCTCAGGCCCATGCCAGCACGGTGGGCCCTGTGAGGCTGCAGCCCGTGCTCACTGCCAGCGATCCAGGCTTCCTGGGCCTTCTGCTGGCTTCTAGGTGAGAATTAGTGGGCTTGACTGCAGCTCGGGGTCCAGGGAGCCATATTACTGGGACAAAGGCTTGGGTTCAGAAGGAGGTGTTGAGCTGCCTGTTGATCAGGGGCGATGTGGAAGTCAAAGTCAGAAGGGAGGTTGAACTTTTCAACTTCCAGCAGAAATACTGCTTCCAGCCCCTTGTGTGCCCAGCACTGTACCAGGCCTGTACTTGCCGGGGCGGTGGGTGGCGGGTGGGGGTGAGGTGAGGATAGGAGTAGTAGGCAAGAACACTTTGCCTTTAAGAAACAAAAATCTAATTAGGAAGGTTTCCTGGAAAACAAGGTAATTAGGCAATCAGAGTAGCTGGAGAAAAGTGCTGAAAGAGTAGTCCAAAAGAGCTTCCTGGAAGAGGAGGGAATTGAGATGACCTCTGAGAAAAAGCATTTGGGACTTGGTGAGGGCATTGCCCCAGAGGATGGGGGCCTGAAGTGTTGTGCTATGTGTCCTGTGAGCTTGATCACTGCAGTTTCTCTGTGGTGGAGACACATGGGGT